TGAAAGAGATGCCAAAAAAGGAGCCAGTTCTGGAATCGAAAAAAGAACCTTTTTTAGAATCTAAAAAAAGGAACGATACGAATACCTTTTTTTAAGGGGACTATACGAATACCTTCTCGAAAAAAAACTACATATAAGAAGTATTCAGCCCATCACAAAACAGTTGGGGCTTCTCCCGATTAGGCCCATCTACCAGGCCCGTAAAAGCAATGCAGTCCTCTCTTCTCTCAGCTCGTTAGAATGAACGCTCGGGACCTCCTATATGTCGCTTATTGCGGCAAGAAGTCGCCGTTTCGCACAGGATGCGGTTCACGTGGGCCAGCCCATTCGCTGTCCTTTGCTGAATGAAAGAGATGCCAAAAAAGGAGCCAGTTCTGGAATCGAACCCGTGATCTCTACATGCGCTAGCCACTCCGCCAGGCAAGCTATTTGTGAAAGAGTGGCAGCGCCAACGTACAAAAACCAAACAGAAGCAGCAAAAAATAAAACAAATTCACAAAATTCCATAAAAACTTGTAGGCGAGGGATAGAACACAAGTCCTCCCGCCATGAAAGCGCGTCCGTAGCCACTGTATAACTGAGATTTAGTGTGTAAAATGGCAGCCCGGTATATATGAACTACAATACGTGGCAGATTATTTATTCTTACAAAAATGCCAAACAATACTTTTTTTAAAGAAAATACTTTTTGAAAGGAAAACATTATTTGGGAAACTCAAAAAAGTTAAAAAAAATGGAACAAAAAATTAAATACGAGAACATTTTTTGAAATAATCAACTAGTTATTGTAAACACAAAACATTTATAGAAAAAAATTAAGAAATTCAAAAAATGAATACATTTGAAAATTGAAAACTACTTTTACAAAATTCTAGCATTATTTTCATTTGTGAACTAATTTTGAAAAACATGAACCTTCAATATGTGAACAAAATTTGGGAAAAAGATTTTTTTTTAAATTCGTAAACACTATTGAATTTTGAACAAAAAATAAACATGAGAAGATTTTTTTTCATATGTGAACAAATTTTGAAACCATTTTTTTTCAAATTGTGAACAAATTTTCGAACTTCCTGAACAGCTTTGAATTTGTGAACAACATTTGGAACATTTTTTTGAAATTCACATACATTTTTGCATTTGCAAACAAAATTTAAACATGTGAACAGTTTTTGTATTTGTGAACAAATTTTGGAAATGGGAACTTTTTTTAAACAAAATATTTGTTGTTTTGTGAATAAAACATTAAAAGGTGAACAGTTTCTGAAACGATGCGAACAATTTTTTAAAGCACGATTTTTTTTAATGTTGAGAACAAATTTTGAAATGGAGAACAAATTTGGAAGCTCGAACAGTTTTTGAAAGCACGAACATTTTTTGAATGTTGAGAACAAATTTAGAAATGGAGAACAAATTTGGAAGCGCGAACAATTTTTGAATGTTGAGAACAAATTTTGAAATGGAGAACAAATTTGGAAGCGCGAATTTGAAATGGAGAACAATTTTGTAATGGGAAGATGTTTTGAAACTCTCAAACATAATTTGAAACGTGAACAAAAAGAAAATAAAAAGAGAAGAAAAAGGAATTGAAAGATGAAATAAAGAAACAGAAAAGCGAAGAAAGAAAAAGAAAAAACCGGAAAAACAACAAAGAAAAAGCAAACAGAAAAAACCAGTGAAAACCCGGTTCAAGAACCTTCTAGAAGGTTCCCAAAACCGTTCAGGAACCCTCCAGAAGGTTCCCAAAAAACGGAAGCTGTAGCACCAGCGCTATCTCCTAACTGGGCCGGCCCATCTTGATCGCTAGTCGCTCGCCTCTCTGTGCGAAGCCTCGACAACTCGACGCAGCGAGCGTCCGTTAGGAAATTCCCGAACGCCCAAGCAGACGAGGGCTCGCAATACCGGAGACGGCGCGAAACTACAGGCGGCGGCGGCGAGGGGGAGGAGACGCGTGGTCGCGTGGAGGTCCACCTGATCGACGGCCGCTCGCAACGGCGGTGCGCCGAATCACCTCGCCGGCCATCTGAACTTCCTCGACTGCACCATGGACGCCCTCTCCTCCGTCCGCTCGAAGAGCCACCAGGTCTGCTCTCACCTGCCCGCCAGGTGCTTGTGTTTATTACTGTATGTCCCCATAGCTCTCTAGCTCGAGCCTCGAGCAGCCACCTAGTGACCACCTGACCTCACTGGGCGAACGCGAGAGCCCTTGATCTCGCGCTTGCTTGGCCTCGGCTACTACTGGTTTTCCTTGGCTTCATGGTACGGGGTACTATGATATGCAACAAGGTAGACTAGCAGTACTTTGATATGCAAGAAAACCGGCCGATTCGACAGGTTTTTCTTTTCTTGGTCTAGTGTTGGGATGGTTTGTGGAGCTGAAGAAAGCGCCCGGGTCGCCGGTTCCCTTTTTCTTCTGGCAGTCTGGTCCGGTTATTTAATCTATGATTTGCACACGATGATAAACTAGCCTAACAATGGGCTTGTGGAATCACTGGTACCAAGTGTTTCGGTTACCCATATATTATCATGTTATTACTTCCTTTGCATGAATCATTCTATGACTTACTTTCTTAGATTAGGTCTGTTTTAACTATTTGTTACTCCCAGGTTAGCGTGCACATTGCTTGGCAGTAGGAATTATGTGTTGAGGAAGATTGCTTCCGAAAGTATCAGTCAGTACTCCGTTTGATTGGGGCTGTGGCAACAATGGATGCTTGTTGAACGTGAACGCCATGTTTGCTGAAGTCTAAACGTCTTCATGTGCACACATTGAGTATATATGCACGTAAGCACTCAGGTTACAGAAACACCCATAACTTCAGTTGCCATGGCCAACAACTTCACTTCTTCAGTTCAGAAGCCCATTACTGAGACCTCCTCAAGATGCCTGACAGAATCCGTCACCAACGCCCACAACTTTGAGGTGACTAGCTACTCGCTGCTCCAGGGTATGGGTGCCGGCAAGTTCATTAGCTCAAACACATTCAACGTCGACGGCTATGGCTGGAACATCGGAATATATCCTGATGGATGGAAGGAGGATACAGGTGCCTACATGTCGGCCTTCTTGTGTTTCTGCAGTGGGACAACAGATGCAAAGGTGAAGTTCACATTTAGTTTATTGGAGAAAGATAGAGAAGTTAATAAGCTAGAGAGCACGACATATACCTTTAAGTTAGTAGGTGGTTATTGGGGCTGGGAGAAGTTTATTATGAACTCCAAGCTTAAGGAACTGTTATCCCGCAATGATGACTGCTTCACAATCAGATGTGTTTTGACCATCTTGAAAGAGCCTCGTATAGAAGATAGCACAGTCATAGTCCCAGTTCCACAGTCGGATCTGCACATGCACTTCGCAAACATGTTGAAGGATGGAGAAGGCATGGATGTGACGTTCAGTGTCCGTGATCAACTCTTCAATGCACACAGATGCGTGTTAGCTGCGCGGTCGTCTGTCTTCAAGGCTGAGCTCTTTGGTCAGATGAAAGAGACCACCATGAAACACGTCAAGATTGATGACATGGAGCCTTCCATCTTTGAGGCACTTCTTCACTTCATATACACGGATACTCTGCCAAGCAACTGTGAGGTTGATCAGAATGTGGCATTGCAGCACTTGTTGGTTGCCGCAGATCGGTATGGACTGGAGAGGCTCAAGGCTATTTGTGAAGGGAAACTATGCCAGAGAATCGATGTGCAAACAGTTGCAACCACCCTTGCTTTAGCGGAGCAGCACGGCATCGTGCAACTCAAGAATGCCTGTCTCAGATACCTTTCTTCACAGGGCGTGCTTCAAGCTGTCAAGGAGACTGATGGATTCAAGCACCTGACAACAAGCTGTCCATCAATTATGGTGGACATTTTAGACATAGTCGCCCCACCTTCAGTAGTATGAGCAGTCTGGCTGAGTATTTAGTAGTATCCGACTTGTCCCACTTCAAGCTGTCAAGTGTGAAGATCTAGTAGTACTCTATCGATTTTAATCATCTGTCCAGTGTATCCACTGTAAGACGGAACTTCTCTTCGGGAATGTGTGCTCTATGGTCTGCTTATTGGCACTGAAAATTCTACTAGTACTAATTAATTTTCTTGACTGTAACTATGGCTTATTGGCACCAAAAATTCTACAGTACTAAATAATTTTGTTGACTGTAACTATGTGGTGTGTGCTAGCCAACAACACTAACCAAAAACAGTTACAAGGTGCACAGAACCACAAGAGGCTATGTGGTATGTGCTAGCCTGGTGTGCTACTTTTGTATAGAGATGACCAAAAGCCAGATGTTGATGTTATTAAGCCAGTTACAGAGTGTTGTGGTGTGACTGAATCATTTGAACATCTGATTACCCTGTCGACGCGTTACTGACAGCAGCGCTGTTTGTGTTGTTTAATTTCCTTTCTATGAGGTGCTGCTGCAATGTGTGCCCCATCCCTAGGTTGGGGATCTCTTCCATTGTGTTTGACAGATGATGCTTGTGTATGGATGCCATTTCTCCTGTGTTTTCGGTTTCAACCTGAATTGTTGTTTGCTTGCTTATCTTTGGAAGATCTGTCATGTTTGTACTCTTGGCGTTTTTCGGTGTGCTTCCCCAGTGTTCCTGTTCTTGGCCTGAATAAAAACCGTGTAATGTGTGTATGTTTCTTACTCCCAGTTGATACCCAAAAAAGAAGAAATAAGATCGACCTTGGTCCTTAATCGCAGGAGCCAACTGAGCTGCTCGTCAAAGGCGGCCTGTCAGGCCCATCCATCTACACGGCCCTGCAGCAACCACATTGCCGGAGTAGGCTACCATCAATCAGCCCAACAACCCTCTCTCTTCCCCCCTGCTTGTTCCTGACGAGTCAAACAACCGATCGAGCAGCAGAACCGGACGCCGCGGCGCGCCAGCCGGATGGCGCGAAACTCAAGGCGGCAGCGACGGGGACGTCTTGTGGCCGGGTGTAGCTGGCATCGTCGATGTGCGGCCGGGTGAACTGCGCCCACGGCATTGCCGGCATGGTCCAGCATCAACAATGCACCCAGACCAGCCGTCTTGTCCGTCACCTGCGAGCCGCCTTCACAACCCTCCCTTCGTACCTCTTCGTCATACGGCGACCAGGGAATACCCCCTTTTCTAGCGCTCGCGCATGTATCATTTAATGCCTCCCCACCTACCGGCTATGCCCATCCGATGGTCCAGATAATGCTACTATATCTATATGCAAGTATGAGCCGTATCGCTGCTTCCCGTAACTGCTATCTGAAAACAGAGGAGTGAATTGCAGAAAACCACCACATTGAAGCGTCGTGTTGCAGAAAAGACTCTTCTATGAATTTGTGCCAGAAAATACTGATTTTCGTCCTAATCATTTGCACAAACCACCTAACCTTCTGTTCAGACATTTTAACCTCTATTATGACATGTGGGTCTCACATTTGATGACGTGGCACAATGTTTCGTGATAGACGACGTTAGATGAGGGATTTTCTGGATTTACAAATCAGTCCCTTTAGTTTTACAGGGACATCCTTCAATCAAAAAACAAAAAGCAATCAACTCCCTTCATGGATTTGGGCTAACACAGCAGCCGAGTAGAGCAGCAGAACAGCAACACGCCGGCCATGGGTGATGGGTCTCGTCGCCAGGCCACCATGTAAGCTCTCTCTCTTTCTGCTCTCCATCCTTCCCTGAACTCTCTCTCTCTCTCTCCCGAGCCACCACGGCCATGCCACTCTCACCAGCGTCGCCGCCGCCAAGCCTCCATCGAACCACCACGGCCATGCCCGTCACAACTCAGCTGCCCCCTTCCCCCACTCCTGCGCTCGCCCAGGTCAGCTCCGATGCGCAGTAGCTCGACCACGGCAATATGGGCGATGCCGGCGAGAATTTCGTGCTGCTGCTGCCTGGACCTTGGTACCGTGGCTGCCGGAGCAGAGCAGCAGCCGCAAAGAGTAGCGTTAAGTAGCAATGGTTGGGAGCAGCAGTCGCAAGCAGCAGCAACAAACGGGAAAGGAGCTGCGGCGGCGGCAAGCAACGGGAAGGAGCAGCAGCGGCAACCAGCAGCAGTGGGAAGGAGCAGCAGCAGCGACCACCAGCGGGAAGGAGCAGCAGTGGCAAGCAGCAGCAGGAAGGAGCTGGACGGGCATGGTGTCGCCCGCCGTGGCTGCGGCGACCCTCGAGCTCCACTGTGCCGCGTGCGGCACCTCCAGAACGGGGCTATGCGGCACTTGGAGCTCGGCCGCTCTGCACGCAAGAGCTGGGACGCCCTTGAGCTCGCCAGACCAATGCCGGCCGGCTCCGGCAACGAGCTCGTCGGCAGGGAGAGCGTCCTGCAGCTCCGGCACGATGAGGAGGGCGCAGGCGTCCTGCAGCTCCGGTAGGTCGCCACACCAGGCAGCTGCGTAGACGAGCCCCGCCGCCGCTCCCGGATGACCTGCTCACGACGGAGTAGCGCGAGGTCCGGTGGCCCAGCCGGAGCACCTCCTCCACGTCCCCGGCACCCCTCTCTGGCGCACTTTGCCACGTCCCTGCACTCACGCCGCCGGCGACGACATCAGCTGGAGCGAGGAGGGAAGCCCGGTGACGATCTGGATCGGGCAGGGGAGGGATTGGGAGGAAGGTTCTTTTTGAAAAAATACCAGTCTAACGGCGTCTACCACGAAACGTAATGCCATGTCATCAAATGTGGGACCCACATGTCATAATAGAGGTTAAAATGCCCGAACAGAAGGTTAGGTGGTTTCTGCAAATGATTAGGATAAAAATCAGTATTTTCTGGCACAAATTCGTAGAAGAGCCTTTTCTGCAACACGACGCTTCAATGTGGTGGTTTTCTGCAATTCACTCGAAAACAGAGCGTTCAGTGATGCCAAGTTTGGGATTTTCTGCATCCGATAGTTGTGTTGAACTTTTGCACAAAACTGTTGGCAGTCACCTACTAACCATGTTTTTTCTTCTTCATCTGTAAACCGTTATAGGTGCATAACGTATATCCTGGCCTCTGGTAAGTGCTCAGGTATGCATGTACATGCATTTGTGTGTATCTATCGGGCCTTAAAATATAGCCTCAACTCAAATGCTGCTTGAATATTTTCACTTTACAGATGGCTGGATCCGCTCGTTGATCTAGCAGGATGGACATAGTTACCTACCTGATTCTAATCACTCCTTTGCTTCCTCTGCCGGGGTTGAAGTTGGGATTCTGCAGTCGATGGGACCAACAACATCCATTTTTGTCTTTTTGGTTTTGAGTTTTTTTTTTGCAATGGAAATGATGATAGCTTTGCTTTTTGTTTACTTTTATACTGTAGTCATCCGTTTTATTCATTCACTCTACTTATTATCTGGTGAAATCCAAATAATGGTATCAGTTTCGTGCATACATGTCAGGCCGGCCCTCATCCACAGGCCAGGGATGGGCATGGTTTTTCCAGGCCGTGAGCTTCAGAGTTGAGCTGGATGCCCGCCCAGTGCACAAGTCTCCTGAACATTCATACGTTGTTGTTGTCCACTACTTCAGTGCAGCAGCAGCCCAAAAACAATGAAGGTACCATACGTATGACGATTTTAGACACCTTGTTCATATCACATCAATTAGTTGAGGTATATACTTGCAGGTTTTATGCTATTTCATGACGATACAGAATGCATGATATTCGTGCACAGAACGCTGAACGCATGCTATATCGGGCATCAGAACGCATGTGGTACCAATGGACTCAGACCAAGGGAACAGCTTGTCTATATATATAAATGAAGCCATCGCCATGTACATTGCACCTTACTGCATCCAAGTAAGTATAGTCCTCCCTACACCACACTAGCTAGTGATAATTATGTCACTCATCTCCACAGCACTTGTGCTAGCTAATTGTCCCCCTAGGTCTTTACTTGTACCTGCTGCGGTCTAGTCGTAGAAGATCAAATAACCCAGCAGCAGCAGTGTTCCTCACAAAATGGCCAATGCTAGGCATGCTCCCTTCTCTCTTGGCCAACATGTACAACTTCCATGAGTACAGTTATTTGGTCCTCGCCGGATCAGGCCTCGACTTCAATGGGGACGGCGCGCCTGGGGCCGGGATGCGGTTCTTCATCACCTGCGACCCTGCCAACATCCAGCACATCTTCACGACCAACCACCACAACTTCCCCAAGGGCGCGGAATTCGCTGCCATCTTCGACATCATGGCAGGTGGCCTCTTCACTATCGACGGCGAGCTATGGCATCGGCGCCGCGTGAAATTTGTGGGTGTGATCAGCAGCCCGTGGTTTACTGACCGTGTGGCAGCTCATTGCCGTGACAAGGTGAAGGACTACCTCCTCCCATTGCTTGCCCGCATGGCGAGTACCGCCACTTCATTCGACATGCAAGAATTAATGGTGAGGTTAATGTTTGACATGACCGCCACAGCAGTCTTTGGCGTGGACCCTGGCTTCCTGTCCTTGGACATGCCTCCCATTGATGCCTCCATTGCCATGGACATGGTCATGGAGGTGGGATTTCTACGGCACACCATACCAGCCTCTTTGTGGAAGGCAATGAGGTGGCTAAATATTGGTCCTGAGAGAAAGCTCCATGAAGCGAAGAAAGTGCTGCACAGGTTTGTTGTGCATACAATTGAGAGGAGGAAGACCACTAGAGAAAATGCTGGTCACGATGAGGATGAGGAGGTTGGGGGTGATATTTTAGCTTCCTACATCAATGACCCAGACTTCTCCAACGATGACTCGCTCCGTGCGACACTCATTAACTTCATGATCGCTGGGAGGGACACAATTGCCACGACCCTGCCATGGATATTCTATCACTAGTGCAGAATCGGGCAATAGCACCGGTTCGTAAGGCCCATTAGTGCCGGTTTGGTAACCGGCGCTA